GAGAGAAACATCGATCAGCTGCCTCCTGCACATCTCCCACTGGGGATGTGACCGCAACCCAAGTACATGCCCTTGACCGGAATCGAACCCGGGACCTTTCAGTCCGCAGGCCGACGCTCTATCCACTGAGCCAAACCGGTTTCGGCAGGTCCCGTTTCTATTCCCAGTCAGGGCTCGGGTTGCCACTCAATCCCTAGTAGGAGGTGTGCAGGAGGCAGCTGATCAATAATTCTCTCTCATCATTGATGTTTCTATCTCTCTCTCCCTCTCCCTTCCTCTCTGAAATCGATAAAAATGTTTTAAAAAACACTGCTTAATTTAAAAAAAAAAAGATTAGCAGAGAAAATATACAATAATCTTTCCATGTAAAGCACATACTTATTGCTAGATTGTTGTGGGGCTATGGGCTCCTCTGGTTCAGGGTTTTGAAGTAACAGGAAAAGGAGGACGTGGATTCAATCAAATTTCAACCGATGCCTTCTGGTAGGGATGAGGCCCAGCTGAGTGACTGATTCGAGAGCAGCTGAGCTGGTCTGTTTCCAAAGATGACTGAGTATGAGAGCTGACGTGGTATCAGCCAGCAGGAGTGGCAGGACACAGGAATCACAGATCCCAAGATCATTTCTGCCCGGGGAACTGGATTAGTTTTAGGCACTATCTGTATTCAGTAGCGGTAAGATAATTTCCAGGCATGGGAAGCCGGCCATACCCTGATGATAGATTAACCTGCTAACAACTGCTTCGTTTGTGCAACAACCTAACGCAGCCCATTCTTCCCCTGGCCACAGGAGCTTGGGGCCTCGGCCCACGAACGGGGGTTACACTGATACCAGTAAAACGATAGCCTTTGACTCCCAATCACTGCCCGTAAAATTACTGACTAATGAATTCTCAGTTTCCCCCACTTGTTGAAAAGAGTCTTTATTACTCGGGGACTCCTTTGGTGGCAACTTAAACCAGCCTGGTTAAAAGGGAAGGGGTGTTAGCTCACATAGCCAGGAAGGTGAGGAGTGTTTGCGGGGGAAGACCCAGCAGGACTTGGTGTGCCTGCGTTTTCTCTTCACCTCTCACCTGCTTTTGTGAGGATTTTACTTTTGGCTTTATTCTCCCAGGTTGGGTGATTTCATAAAATGGAACCATAGTTAGTGTCAGTTTCTAGGGTCTCATAACACACACACACACACACACACACACACACACACACACACACACACACACGAAGGGCCCTAATCGGCCTGGGTTGGATCGCTTTCTCCTCTGATCAGTTACTGAGTTGAGAATGTTGGTTCTTAGAGTCACATCATGGGCACAGTTTAACTTTCATAAGTTCAACTATGAGCGTTAAATAAGAGAAAGGCGAGAGGTAGACAGTGGATATGGGCGATGCCGGCCGTTGGCTACACCCTGAGTGCAACGTGAGCCCAGAGGGGTGATGGCCGTTCCCGAGGCCCATCTCAGCTCCCAGAGCTTGTCATGGCCCGAGAACCTGCAGCAAAGGTCCAGGCAGTCATTTCAGAGAACACGGCCCCTACATGCAGCTGGCCCTTCATCGGGTACTCAGCTGAAGAAGAGCCTGCCGTTTGCCTCTGTATGGGGGGAAATGAGACCATGTCATCATGGCCTTCATGAAAAAAGATAATTATACTTTGGTGGGTGCTTAAAGGATGTTCTAGGATAGTTTTACCTGTATGTGAATTTCTCCTCACAAGCGGACATTAACACCTGCCGCCTGCCTCGCATGACTTGGAATTCTATGGAGATGGGTCTGGGGGCCATCCCTCCATCAGTCACTGACAACTCAGAAGCAGGGCCCTTTAGGTGGGGAGTGGCGTCCATTTGGAGGAAGTCAATTGAGACCCACCACCCTGGAGTGGCTGCAGGGACCTGAGGTGTTTCACGTGAGGCTTGAGTGTTTACCAACATCCTCCTCCACTGGGACCCCTGGCCGTCCACCCCCTGCTGAGGTCCTCCCCGTGGCTGGCTTCCTGGCTTCCTAGAGCCGGGGCCACCCTGCTAGTGCCCGGTTTACACCCTGCATTCCCAAGCGACGGCTGCCGTGGTGTTTGTGCAGATCAGCATCTTCCTTCAACTCACAAGAAACTGATTCAGCCATCAACCCACTTGGAACCTTGGCTGTCCTCTGCACCTGGAACCAGGCCAAGTTCCTCAGGGGACGGGTGGGCTTCGCAGCGTCTTCTTCACCGGTCCTGGTCCCGGGACACATCCCAGCAAGCTGTGAGCTCCTCTCTCCCAGCTGGGAACCCCCTGCCGTTTACGGTGTGTTTCCTAACTTTGGGGAGATCTTAGTCCTGGAGGCCACTGCTCGTCGTCTTTCTCCGGGTAAGGTTGCCAGGTGAAATATTTGGGACATTTATCTACTAAAAACCTTATTTACTGTTGATCTGAAATTCAAATTTAGTGTTTTTTAAAAATATATTTTTTATTGATTTCAGAGAGGAAGGGAGAGGGCTAGAAACATCAATGATGAGAGAGAATCACAGATCAGCAGCCTCCTGCATGCCCCCTACTGAGGATCAAGCCTGACCTTGACCTTCTGGTTCATGGGTCAACACTCAACCACTGAGCCACACCAGCCAGGCTGTATGTCCTTTCAATTTTTTTCAATGCTGTTTGTATACAGTGTAAAATTTTTATGTAACCACATCTATGATTCCTTCTGCTACTTTTGTGCTGAGGAAGATTTTTCCTATCCGAAGATGAGATAAATTCTAGCCAATATTTTGTTGCATTCTCATGATTATAATGAACTCTTTAATCTATCTGAAATTTGACTTGGTATATGGTGTGCGACAGGCTCTAAATGAACCTTCCTCCCAATAGCATCTTTTCCGAGTGCTATGTTCCCGTCTCTCCTTTTATTCATTCTCTGGGTAAAAGATGGGAGTCAGTTGGGGAAGCTAAGTGGCCCAAGCAGTTCACCGACATCACCACACCTGGAGAATGAGCTGTTTCCTAATCCCCAGGTTTTCTCCCAAATGGTGAAGGAGATCAGAAAGCAGAGGGGAGGCAGGAGCATCTGCATTCTTTACATTCACAATAACCACATCGGTAGGAGAGAAAACAGGCCTGCGTCCCCACGAAGCCCTCAGGCCCGCCTGTTAGGTGATCCTGCTGATTCACAAACCACGTCCAACCCTTTCTGCTTCTGATTCTTATCCCATGGATCAGGACACCCCCACACCCCTCCTCAGACCTTGGAGAGGCTAGCTGGATGAGGTGGTCTGCCTGTAATTACTGCTTATTTAATTGGATTGTGGATTTTAATATCATCAACACGGGGAGGGGACAGATAGGAGAGGTGCCTGCAGCGCTAGGCTTCTGCTCACCCTCTCCATTTGTGCTCTCGGTTTATCTCACCCTATGGCTGGGCAGCGCCTCCTCCTTATCGCGTCTGTTTCTCCACACGTCTCCCTGGATATAGTCACGTATGAAAGTAGCGTGGGCAGTATTAGCATGTTGCATTGCATATCTGAATATGTTTCTTTTGCTTACGTAAGTCTAAATGAAAACTTACTTTGGTTATTTTCTTGGGCTTAGTGTTTTGGAAAATGTGAGGTATGTTATTTTCCCATATGCCTGCTGAAGCTCTGTCCTCTTAGACATTACGGTCTAATGGAGAAGAAATAAATTGGTGATTAAGAATGCAATGTGTTGTGAATTTAGTCTTATTTTTCACATTCTCTGTCATTTTCAGGAGACGTGGGGTGGAGAAAATATAATCACACGGGCTCAGTCCACTTCTGAGGAATGGAAGCCGCCCAGTCTCCTCTGGTGCCAGAAGAGGAGTAGGAACGAGTCCCCAAAAGGAAAAACTCGCTCTGGGGTCTCAGCTCCTCGCAGACTAACTAACCCCTGAGCGTTGGCTTTCATTGTATGATCTATCCGGGCAGCCAGAGGCCTGGCAAGGACTGGGTCTCCACGGCATGCTGAGGGCCCCTTCCCTTTATAGATGGGTGCATCTAGTGGCGACTTACAGTGGTTGTCTCCATCCCCAAGGCCTCAGAATCTGATTTGTTGGGGAATAACATCTGCCTGAAGCAGAGAATCTCACCACTTTATTTCTTTTCAGCCCTTTAATCCTAATGCCAGAGTTATGTTCGTCATAAATCTATGGCCACTGAAATATCCTCGCCCCATCTGCCAATAACTTCCAAAACACACATTTTTTTCACAGAGCCTCTTCTAAGCTGCGCTCTTCTTTAACGACACATCACTGTTCACGTGCAGCCGGGTATTGCGGGTTTGGTGGATGAAGCAGAGACTTCCCCAGGCCTCAGATTCCTTGCATGTAAAAGTCAACCTAGTAGTATCTCTCCCAGGGTTCTGCTGTGAGAATCAAAAGAATTAATGCGCTCACATTTGCATAAGACCTGGCTCAAAACCCACCGGTAGGATTACTTCAAGTCTGAATATTAAAATATTTAAAAATTTGTCTGCAAAGTAAAGCCAGATAGGGAGTGTGTTTTCCTACAGAGAACCGCTGCTATGGCCAGGCTGCCCTCCTGTCAGGGTTGCAGGCTGTTAGCACAGCGTCTATGGTCTATGTGCGCACACAGATAAGCTTTTTTCCGCTCTTTCCTATGTGCCTGGCTCTCCAGATTTCATTATCAAAGGGGCAGAGCGCATCAGAGAACTTGATCAGCAGCCAGGCACGGTTTTTCCTTCTGCTTGTCCTTTGTCAGGTCTTTGTTCCGCCCCTGGCTACACTCGAACAGAACCACTTACTGGTGATTAAAAGGAGGGACTCGGCGGCGAGGCGGGGCCTGCGGGGCGCGGGGGCGCAGCGATTGGGTTCGCCCTCGGGGGGCTGCGCTCCGAGTGCCCGCCCGCGGGCGTCGGCCGCTCCGGAGCCAAAGCCCGACCCGCCGCACCCGCCGCCGGGGGAGACGTCAGAGGCGCGCAGCCGAGGCTGGCCGACGGACCGACAGACCGACAGACCGACGGACCGACGGACTGCGGCGGCGACCGAAGAACGGAGAGCGGCGCGCGCGCGGCTGGCTGCAGGGAACAGACATCCACAGCGCGGCCGCACCAACCTGCCGGCTCCGACGACAGCGCCATGTCCGACGGCGACAACACCACCCTGCTCCTCGCGCCGTCCTCCCTGCAGCCGGACAACTACACGCTGCCGCCCAACGCCAGCAGCCTGAGCCCGGGCCCCGACTTCCCCGTCGCCCCCGCCTCCAGCGCCGCCCCCAGCCCCAGTCCCGGGCTCAGCCTCGCGCCGAGTCCCAGCGTCAGCTTCAGCCCCGGCCCCGCTCCCACCCCGGAGCCCACGGCCGGCGGCTTCCCCGGCCCCGCGGTCAGCGCGGGCGCGTCCCCGTTCCCTCGGCCCTGGGCCCCCCACGAGCCCGCGTTCTGGGACACGCCGCTGAGCCACGGGCTGAACGTGCTGGTGGGCGCCGCCCTGTGCGTCACGATGCTGGGCCTGGGCTGCACCGTGGACGTGAACCACTTCGGCGCGCACGTCCGGCGGCCGGTGGGCGCGCTGCTGGCCGCGCTCTGCCAGTTCGGCCTCCTGCCGCTGCTGGCCTTCCTGCTGGCGCTCATCTGCTCGCTGGACGAGGTGGCCGCCGTGGCGGTGCTCCTGTGCGGCTGCTGCCCCGGCGGGAACCTCTCCAACCTCATGTCCCTGCTGGTGGACGGCGACATGAACCTCAGGTACGGAGCGGGGTCCCCGAGGCGGCTTTCCCAGCCCCGCCGGCCGCGGCTGCAGCCCGGGGCTCCAGACCGAGGACAGAGGACGAGGGGCGGTGAGACCGGCATGGAGCGGGGAGGCGGAGGTGGAGGGAGATGTGGAAGTCAAGGCAGAGAGGAAGAGCCGGTGTTGTGGGGGGAAGAGCTAGACCCGGGCGAGCTGAGGGTCTTGGGGTCTCCTCCGCGGCGCTCTCCCCACCTCCCCGAGGGCTGGGCTGTCCGCGCAGGTCTTCGCCGCTGGAAGACAAAGAGAACTGGGAAGCCTGCGGCCAGGACTCCCCGGAAATGCTCAACAAAATAGGGCGATTGATCCCAGTAAAGAGTAATCTCATATAGAGGACAAGGTAATCCTGTTCAATCCAACAGGTAGCGTTCAGCAGCGTTCCCGTGTCTAACGGGTGTTTTGAAGGCTTAAAAACTATGCTCCTGGCCCTCAAAATCATCCGGACCATCCAGACGATAGCCCGCCGCACAGGCTGCACGGAGCCAGGGCAGCAGTGCGGACGGCTTTTCTTTTTCCCCGGTCCGTGTTTCAGTTGGACTTGGACACGCAGCCCTCTTGGCACTCACCCGGGATGAAGCAGGTTCTCCCCAGACCTCAAGCTGGGAAATAGCAGTCGCCCCCTTTCCCTTCCACCTCGGGTTCCAGATCGAGGGTGGCCCACGTGCCAGACGGGCCCTTGGGCTCGCAGCCCATTCTGACTTGTGTTCCTTCCCTTTTCTGCAGCATCATCATGACCATCTCCTCCACGCTCCTGGCCCTGGCCCTGATGCCCCTGTGCCTGTGGGTCTACAGCCGGGCTTGGATCAACACGCCCCTGGTGCAGCTGCTGCCCCTCGGGGCGGTCACCCTGACGCTCTGCAGCACCCTCATCCCCATCGGGCTGGGCGTCTTCATTCGCTACAAATACAACCGGGTGGCTGACTACATTGTGAAGGTCAGCTCACTCCTCCTTTCCATCCTTGGCAGACTTGGAGTCCTTGGTCCTGAGCCGGGCTGAACGCTAGGAAGTTTGGGAAAGAGGGGTGAGGAAGAAAAGGATTTGGCAGGCCTTGCATGAATACACTTAAAAAAAAAAAAAGTTGATGCTCAAAGATAACTTTCACCTTTTTGAATTTCAGAAATTATAGCTTTGAGACACAGATCAATTAAAAACAGCACAAGAGAACTCGGTACTCATAGGAGGAAACAGGTCATAGGGAAATGGATGGCAGGGCATAAAATGGAAACATTTTCCATGAACCACTCGTGTGTTACAAAACAAGCAGGCGAAATGAAATTATTTTAATAGGATTTGTACAGTACTGAAGAAATGCGTTACTAATAGAATTTGTACTGTATTTTAGAAATGTGTTACTCAGTGTTTTAAAGGAGGAACTCTAATTCTGAGAAACTGTACACAGCTGCTTTAAAATGCTTTATTAATTTTCTAAAAAATAAGTTGATATTAATAAGACCAAAAGTAATTTAAAAATCACATCATGGCAATATAATAGAATGCACAAAATATGAACTTTAAAGCACAAAATAAAATTAGGTCATGGATAAATAGTACAGGCTATATTGCTATTAATAAATATGTGTTTTTCTCCTTCCTCATTACAATTCTTTGATTTCTAAAGGTAGTGAAAGCATGGGGATTTCTACTATTTTATGCAATATTTCCAATATTGCTTAAAAAAACCACCTGATGCTTTTTTAAAAAAAATATATTTTATTAATTTTTTACAGAGAGGAAGGGAGAGGTATAGAGAGTTAGAAACATCGATGAGAGAGAAACATCAGCCGAAACCGGTTTGGCTCAGTGGATAGAGCGTCGGCCTGCGGACTGAAAGGTCCCAGGTTCGATTCTGGTCAAGGGCATGTACCTTGGTTGCGGGCACATCCCCAGTGGGAGATGTGCAGGAGGCAGCTGATTGATGTTTCTCTCTCATCGATGTTTCTAACTCTCTATCTCTCTCCCTTCCTCTCTGTAAAAAAATCAATAAAATATATTTAAAAAAAAAAAGAGAGAGAGAAACATCGATCAGTTGCTTCCTGCACACCCCTTACTGGGGATGTGCTTGCAACCAAGGTAATGCCCTTGACCGGAATCGAACCTGGGACTCTTCAGTCCGCAGGCCGACGCTCTATCCACTGAGCCAAGCCGGTTAGGGCACCTGATGCTTTTTGTAGCAGGAGAGATTTTGTAACAGGTGACTGGAGGAAATATTTAAATATTTCTAGATTAAGCTTTCTTTGAAAACTGAAACAGCAGTAAATAAGAGTAAACAATGAACAGCATTCTCATTTCAGGAGGTTGGTAACATACAGAACTAGCCATTGTAAAATGCACATGCAAATTCCTTTACATGAGAGAAAATAAGTCTCTCCAATGTTTCAATTTAGGTTTAATAAGACATCTTTTGTGTTTTACTTACATTATTTTCTAAAGTAATCTGATTATACAGAGGGGCAAACTTTTATTAATATGAAAAATAGAGGGTTCTCTTTTTTAAAACATTTTTTTATTGATTTCAGAGAGGACGGGAGAGGGAGAGAAAAATAGAAATATCAGTGATGAAAGAGAATCATTGATCGGCTGCCTCCTGCACACCCCCTACTGGGGATCGAGCCTGCAACCCAGCATGTGCCCTTGACTGGAATCAAGCCAGGACCCTTCAATCCCCAGGTTGACACTCTATCCACTGAGCCAAACCAGCTAGGGCTTCTAACAAAGCTTTTGATGTGGGCACACTTTGAAACTTAATATAAGTTTGGCTTTTGTCAACTGTACATTGGTAGCATGAGTATTTTATATAATAATTATTCAGCATCCTCTAGAGTAGACTTTTAATGAGTCCAGATAAATTTTAACTACTTTTTAAAAGAGTATAAAGTACTATATATGCCAATCCCACACACCCCTAAGGGGTTTCCCTTCAGACGTCCAGGGAACCAGAAACAACCATTTAGAAAAACAACCTCAACCCCAATCTGAAGAACTAGGAGAGGAAATCTTTTAAAATGTTTTTATTGACTTTAGAGAGAGAAAGAAGCATCACTGAAAGAGAAACATCAATCGGCTGCCTCCTGCATGCCCCTACTGGGGATCAAGCCTGAAACGGGGCATGTGCCCCTACTGGGAATCAAACCAACCACCTCCTGATTTTTGGGAAGACGCTCAACCAACTGAGGCCACACTGACTGGGCATAGGAGAGGCATTTTTAGGTTTCTACCTTGCTATTTTTTACACAGTCTTTTATTTGAGGGAGTGAAATGTACCAGTCAAGATGACACAATGTTTTTATAAGCGAGTTGTTTTATATTGAAAATCATTTACTAGCCCTAGCTGGTTTGGCTCAGTGGATAGAACGTCAGCCTGCTGACTGAAGGGTTCCAGGTTCGGTTCCAGTCAAGGGCACATGCCCAGGTTGCGGGCTTGATCCCGGGTGTGCAGGAGGCAGCCAGCCAATCAATGATTCTCTCTCATCATTGATGTTTCTGTCTCTCTCCCCCTCTCCCTTCCTCTCTGAAATCAATAAAAAAAAAATCATATTACTATAATAACCCGGAAGCATCACTAGAGACTCACAGGTGGGAGGTTTCTCACAAACAGATGAAAAAGGGGGAATTGCAAATTTGCAATGAATACTTCACATCTAGTGTTTACATTCCCCCCCTTATGTAATCTGAGAGTTAATTGTTTTGATATTGCTAACAATTCTCAGAGGTAGACAGTATTTTGAAGGTGAGAAATATCATAACTTGATTTCAGACATTTTTAATAGCCTGTTATCTCATGTGTAAAACCAGAACTAATTTCTTATGGAAAAGATGGGTTCCTGTTCAGGGAAAGTCATGTCCATTTGTCCACTCTATTCATCAGACCGACCACAGCTGGTGTATTGGGCTCCGTTCTAACTGCCCTGTTGGTGAGAGGCACATTCACGAGTTCAGCGTGTGCTCGGAACAGTAAAAACTCCAAAACAGAGTTACACGATGGAGGCTGAGAGCCTGGAGACAGTGCTGGAGAAGAGTAGCCTTCCTGGGTAACTGTTTGTAGACTTCTGAAGGCTGTTTGCAGGTGGAGCGGTCTGTGTTGCTTCTGAGGGCCTGTCCATGACAACGGCTTGCGGTTATAGAAGGAAGGTTGTCACTAGATCACTAGACATAAGAACAGGCCTCCAGACAATCAGAGCTGTGCCCGTGGCTGTGGAGGCCTCACGCCCAGCAGTCCACCCTTCCTCAGGGGTCCTCTGTCAAGGACTTGACCGCAAAGATCTCCATTTTGTGTGGGAGGTCAGACTAGATGGGTCCCTCTTCCAGTGCTGGGAGTCCCTGGCCTGAACTCCCCTTCAACTGTCTTTTTTTTGATGGCTTGTTTATCCCTTTTCTATCACCAGGTTTCCCTGTGGTCTCTGCTAGTGACACTGGTGGTCCTTTTCATAATGACCGGCACTATGTTAGGACCTGAGCTGCTGGCGAGTATTCCTGCAACTGTTTACATGATCGCGATTTTTATGCCTCTAGCAGGCTATGCCTCGGGCTACGGCTTAGCCGCGCTCTTCCGTCTCCCACCCAACTGCAAGAGGACCGTCTGCCTGGAGACAGGCAGCCAGAACGTGCAGCTCTGCACCGCCATTCTCAAGCTGGCCTTCCCACCACGGCTCATAGGGAGCATGTACATGTTCCCCTTGCTCTATGCCCTTTTCCAGTCTGCAGAAGCAGGGATTTTTGTGCTAATATATAAAATGTATGGAAGTGAAATACTGCACAAGCAAGATCCTCTCGAAGAAGACGAAGACACCGATATTTCTTATAAGAAACTGAAAGAAGAGGAGCTGGCAGACACGTCCTACGGCTCAGTGAACGCAGAGAGCTTAATGATGGTGGAAACCGCTCAGACTGCTCTCTGAGCGTGGAGACACACAGGGGCATCTGTCTTGCTGAAGTTTTACTTCGTATTTATAGTCTGTGGTAGTGTATATGGTTTACCTAAAGGGTAACAATTGGCTCACAATACCATACTTGTAACAGTTTTGAACTTACCGCTGTAAGGCCACCTTGGTATATTCAATTCACTAAGCGTTTTCACCAATTACAAGTCAGTGTCGTATTATAACTTGCACCTGGGACTGCGCACGCACGTGAAGCCTGAACAAGTGAAGTGTGCTCTTTGGTTTCAACCATTAACCAATTTCTATGACTGTTTCAAAGATGTCAACTCTCAGAAAACGGGGTTTGGGAAATGCAGAATTTTGGTGCACTATCTTATAGGAGTAAAAACAAGCTATATTTGTAAAGCATCATTGAGTTTAATGTAATTGTTGTAAAAAAAAAAAGTGTGCTAGCTTAACTTATGAATACTTGACAATGTTGAAATTTGACCTGTATTTAGAAAAATCCCCAAACAGGTCAATTAAATAATGACATATAGTATTTTAGTGTCAAACCTGTTTCAAATCAGAAAAAAATACACTAACATATTTGATTACTTGATCTGATATCTCTTGATGAACAGACAACATTTTTCTGGTGGACAGAGCGCATTTTTTTTTTCAATTGGGGACTGACTTGGCCTAATGCATTTATGTTAACACACCCCCAATCAATTTACTTCTTGGAGAGATGGTTAGATTAGGAAATTTGTAGAACTACCCCAAAGAATAGTCATTAGTACCTCCAGGTACTCAAGAGCACCTCAAGGCCCACGTATGAGGTGGGGCGTGTGTGGGGGTGGGAGCACGTGCCCCAGGAGATGACAATTAGCCTGGACATGGGTGACCTAGAACGCTTCCCACACGTGCAGGAAGGCTTCATAGGTAGACTTCCCTGAGCTCATGAATAACCTATAACCCTGAGATCAGAGGGAACCCCAACCAAACCTCCGCATATGCTCCCTGGACAGAAGCGAGATAGAC